TGGCAATGATAGCCTTCAGGATCGGAAGGAGGATCGAAGAATGCTGGGAAGCAAGGGCGGGGTTGACTTTGGCGATTCTTCTTAGATAGGTCAAGAGGTCGCTAACGCACGGAATGACCGTTGAGCAGACTTCGTCATATTCATCAGAGAAATATCTCAGGATATGTGGCAGGAAAGCCTGAAGCAGCCCATTGGCCTTCTCCTTGCACTCAGCCGAGACGCCTTCCTGTTCCAATGCCCGTACAATATCAATGACAGTGATATTGACTAACTTGGCGACGGTTTCCGCCAGATCCGTGTCATATTTGAAGGTGAACCTATTTCCGTGCAGAGGGGGGCTATTCGAGAGTTGAGAAACAATGGTATCGAGATTCAGGAAGATAATCATGTCGATCTTGTCCTCCGGTTTCATCTTCTTGCCGATGATCTCCGTGAAGACATCGACCGCCGCATCCCGCACCTTCTCTTCTCCTTGTCTCAAATCCTCTTTCTGCGCCCGGCCCAGCTGCTGGAACAAAAGATCAAGCATTGTCTGGTTCACCACAAGACCGATATCAATCCAGCTGACCCAGCTGCCGACAGCCTTCAAGCACATCTCCACAATTACATCGTTGCCGTCCCGCCATTCCGACAAAATCTGTTGCCATGAGCTGGTGATCTTCTGCATATCCCTCTGTCGAATGAGGTCCTTGAGCGCATTCGCCTTGTCCTGTTCATTGCGGGATCGCGAGACCAAAACATCACCAATCTCGTCGTGGATCGAGTTGATAACCCGAAGGTAGAAGATAATTCCGGATGCGTTGTCGCGTGTGGTGCTCGAGGGGCTTTTGTGGGTCAGGCTGAGGAGATCATCAAAGAATGATTCCCACCCGCTGGCGTAGAGTGCAGAGAAGAGAAAGGTGATGGTTTGGGCGATTTTGTTCTGGATGTTCGGAGGGTCGGATGCTCCTGCGTCCTGTCCGTAGACCTGCCGGAGATACGCCAACAGGCCATCCTTGACGTACGCTAGGGCCTGCAAGTCTATCAAACCGCCCTGTGCAGCGCTATTGACCACTTCCAGAGCCACATGCCTCACGATACCCGAGCGCTGGGGAGTTTGTGTGAACAGTGAAAGGCAGACCTGCCATCCCGACGGGTCGGAGCGAAGCTGGTTCACGAATTCGAAGGCTTGCGTCTTAAGGGCTGGGTCTGCGGACGGATTCGAGGCGATTTCAATTGCATTTGCTACCTAATTTAGACAGTACACTGTTAGGCTCGTTTCGTCCGGTAGAATCATCGTTGCTTTTGGAATACGTAGACATTGGGGAGGTTACGGAGGGGCACGCGAGGGGAAGGGTGGTGGGGTGGCCATTTTTTTCACATTCTCCCACTTTCTGTGAAGACGGACTCAAAAGCCACAGGGGTTGGCATGAGATTTCTCACCTGCTCTTCCATCTTCGACCAGCCGGGCTACCTTCGGAGTCGTGAGGACTCTGAAAGCGATAATAGCAGTGATTCAAGAAAAAGTGGTTTGTCGGGATCAAAATCAACGGCGGTGGAGAGTCATAGCACAGAGGAGGGTCAGTAGGCTATCGAACTATGCATAGTAGGTTTAGTTCCAGCATCAAAGATAATAGTACTAATAATCGGGCGGTGTTTCGAAGGGGGCTTTGCCTGTGGGCGCCTTAGCTTGTCAAAAGCCCCAGTTATTATTCGGGTAAAATGAAAAGGACAAAAAAATTTCTTTCAGTGGAGATCGGGCCTTCACTCACGCGAACTCTTGACTAGGACTTAAAATCCTGATATGCATACAATGATAAAGTGTGACAATGAAAGGCGGGTACAAGAGGGCGAAAGGATTAGCCTAGCCTCAGAGCTCGATGCCAGTGACGTTGATGGAGGGGAAAGAAATTGAGAATTGTTGTGATGAATCATTTCTTGTGCGGACGTCAAGCTGAACGGGTGTTGGCCCAGAAAGGGCAAGGGGCGACGTGCCTCGCCCGAAGTGGCCCTTGATGCCCGCACATTCAGGCATATTTGGCATCAACTGGGCAGCATCCATTAAATATCTCATATACTATATCTCATGTTACTAGTCCAGACACTTGGTTTTGTTTTGAATATGTTCACATGCACTAGTCTAATTCGATTTATCCTCTCATCATAGTTATTATATATGCGGTAGATCTACTTCCTGGCTGCCTCCTGTTTCAACACCTGCTGTTCCATTCTCTCAAATCCCTCAACAGCCTTGCCGTACTTCTCGAAAACTCCCTTTTGATATCCATCTGCAATCTTCTCAATGAACTCTTCCTCTCTCCACCGTTGACCAATCAGGTCTTCGAAGGTCTGGCCGGGCTTTCTCTCAATAGCCCACACAGCCTTGTATGCTGCGCCCAAAGCGCAGGCATTATCTCCGACATCCAGCTTGTAAACTCCATCACTTCCTCCCAGGATCTCTCCAGCTACCTTAGCAATAGCTTTGTTCTTCGAACCTCCTCCAACGAGGTAGACACGACGTGGCTGAGGAGGCAGTCCGTCGCCAGGGCTCTGGGTAAGACCTCGGGACCGCAAGCGAAGCGACAGCATCTGGCTCTCCACAATAGCCCGCGCCTCGTCTGACGGCTTATTCCATCCGTCTTCGGTTTCAGTCAGTGTATCGCTAGCTGGATCGTAGGTGAAACGCCACTGTCCGGACCGGACATTTGGCACGATTTCTGGTCTGGGGAAAAACAGGCCCATCTTCATGGGGCCGGATTCGGTCTTCTGGCCCATCGGGGGCGTCTCAAGCATGATCTTGTCGAAGCTCTCCCACGACTGGGACGCGCCACTGCCCGATTTCTCATTGATTGCATCACGAACATGTTCGCGTGCAAGGCCGCCGTTCTTGTAGCAAAGCATGAACATGTAGAGTCCAGGGGTGGTGGGGTGGTTGAAGAAATGTGTTGCAGGGTCTGGCTTGTAGCTTGGAGTAGACATGAGGAAAGTAGTGGAAGTTCCCAGAGACACCATAGCATCGGACGGCCGCAAGGGCAGGGCAAGGATGGTAGCCGGGTTATCGCCAGTCGAAGGAAGGATCTCACAGTTTGAGCTGAATCCATACCGCTCAACGAAATAACGATTGATCTTTCCAAGGCGTAGACCTCCATCTTCCGGGACGTCACCTAGCTTCCGCTTGAGGTCCTCTGCGCCAAATGGTCCTGCACAAAGTCCAAGGAGTTTCTCATTGTAAGCACCCTTCTTGATATCCCACAGGTTCATGCCGCAGACGTCCGAGATGTCCATGGGCGCAATGTAACCCAAGAGCAAGGACGCAAGAAACGAAGACACAAGCGAGATTCTGGCCGTCTTTCTGTACACCTCGGGATATTTCCTCTGCATTCGGAGAATCTGAGGGCCGGTGAATCTCTGGCCAGCAAACGACCGTCAGCAAGCCCTATTGAACAGAAGACACGGCACATGACCAACTTACATGATGCGCCTTGCTACCCGTCGCCTCAGCCAACTGCTCCGGGCCTCCCAAGAAAGCGTCAAACTCATCACACTCCTTTTGAGTACTAGCATCCTGCCAGTTCGGGCTAAAGGGGTGCGAAAAAGCTCCACTCAGCTGTTCCTCTAGCGACTTGCTTGAATCCAGCGACTTGAGGAGGCTCTCCGCATTCTCGCCCCAGTAAACGCTACCATGCTGCTGTCCGGCGCCGCTGATTCCCTTGACACGGCTAAAATCTAGTCCTTGTTTGCGCAGACCGTCCAGCACGCCATCCAGGGCTTGCAGCCACAGCGCAACGGGTGCGAAGACCTCATGCTCCGCCTCGTTGGTGAGCACGCCCTTTTTGATCGAGAACCCGTGGGAATCGGCATCGAAGTCGAATTTCGAGACGTGTACCACCTTCAGCTCTGAGTTGACCACCAGGCCTTTGAGCTGCTGTGTGGAGAGGTCGAACCCAATGTATAGAGGGCCCTGAGAAGTCATGATGTGAGTGTTGGATGACTGAGAATCTAACCCCGCGGGGAGATAAGATGACGTCGATACGGATAAGAAAAGACGGTGACAACACAGACAAAGGTAGAGGGAACTGAAAGCAAGATGGACGTATTATTAAAGAAATAGGAATAGAAGAAGATCAGAAGACAAGACGAAGGTTTTATGATAAGACTTATGGTCAATTGGCAAAATGTCAGGTGGAAGCTGTCTCACCAATTTATCCCTCTCTCGGGCAAATTCAGGATAAGGAGAAGTCGGTTCCTGGGGAAAAAGGTCTTTAACCTCCTGGTCCCCCACCAACCCTTTTACATTGGGTGACATAGACCATAATTTACCAGGCAATATTTAGGTATAGGTACTTATATCCAAGAATCCAATTCGTCCAATGACATTCCAATTCCTAGACAAACAGAATACTTCATCAGGGCAATTATACCTACTATATTATGATGCCGAAGTGATGTAAAAACCCGGGAGAGCTCAACTGCGGGCGGGAGCATATGAGGATAACCCCACCGCCGGGAATTTCCCCGGTTAATATCGAGATCAGTACAGAGAATCTCCAGGTTCCAGAACTGGGCAGAATTACGAGAATCTAACAAAAGGCATCTACTAAGGTACAAATAGTAATCAGATGATCATTCCACTTTCAAGAAAGGCAAAAGAATGATTGATAAAGTTGACTGCCGGGTAATTGTTTTTGAAGTCTTCAGTCGTGCCAGTCTCTAAATTATATACTCTCCAGCACCTCTAAGGACCAGATAGGCCAACAATGAAGCATCGTTTGTAGATTGTCGATAAAATCTCCTCTCTTCAAGACCACGTTCCTGGTCCCGTTGTGCCCCGAGCTGATCTCGTCTATCCTTCTAATCTTATCCTCAGCATACATGGACGGTCTTCCATTCGTCTTTGCCTCCGGGGTATCACATGCTATTCGGTGGAGGTCAAGTGGAAGCGAAAAGTGCAAAGTTAACATGACGAATATGTGGCCCATTTTCAGAACTTTATATAGGAGGAAAGATGCAAGCGCTATTGCTTAACGGGACTTGCGGGACTCATTCTCCTTGTGTTGATGGTCGTGCGCATGCGCCTCATGCACCGCATCAATATCGCCCTCTTGCGGCTCGGGGTTACTTTGTCTGATGACCTCTGGAGCGATAAACTCCTCTGTAAAGTCCAAATGCTCCAGTTCGGAAGGGACAAATCGGATCTTGAGCCGCTTGACCCCGCGCACAGCCGCCCCGACGGCGTGTCGAACGGTCTCCTCAATCTCGCGAGATCGGCTGAGTGACCAAGCCCCCGGCACCGCTAATTCAATCTCCATGAGGTAGTTTTGTCCAGATTTCATACCCTGAACGTCCCGGATCTGAATCGCGTGTGGATCTTCGAGTTTGGCAAGGATCTTGGATGCTGCATTGCGCACGGAGTCTTTGATGTCGTCGTCAACCGTAGTATCTGCTAGTTCGAGTAGGGATGTTGTAGTATTGGCCCACCCAGCCTTAATCACCATCAGGGAAATGAGAAGGCCACCGACGGGATCAAGCCAAGACGCGTCTTGAAACATGTAAGAACCGCCGATCGTGAACAGGGCGACGATGCTAGTAAGAGAGTCGATGCGGTGATGTACGGCATTGGACGCGAGCACAGAAGATTTGCGTTCATTTGCAATTTTCATAGCTAGAAATAGCAACCCCGCAGCGGTTAGCTGATAGCCACAGTAACGTAGGGAGGAATTGGAAGTGGGCACTCACTGGCACGGTAAAGCCATTCTTTCACAATAATCGAACCCCCTGCAAGCCATGCCGCATTGATATTCGGCCCAAGGGCCTGGACCCCGTGAGCATGCGAGTGGCCATGACCCAAAACTCTGGAGTGAGCGATCGCCTCCGCAGCCTCAGGAAAGAACTGATCCAGTAGAACTTGTCCTGAATTCAGGCCCATAAACACGCCCCCACAAAGCAGGAGTCCACTCACGCCCAGTGCACCGATGCTTTCAATTTTCCCGTAACCGTTGGGAAACCTCTCTGTAGGGGGCTTCAAAGACCACGCGACGGTTCCTAGTGTAAGAAAGTCGGATACGAGATCGGCAAGGGCATGATAGGCATCGGCAATCAAAGCTTGCGAATGGAAGACATAGCCGCCAATGAATTTCCCAATTGCCATAGCGAGGTTGGCAACCAGGCCAATCCGCGTGATTCGGACTCCAGCGTCGCTTTTGTTCGCAGAGGTGAGGTAAACATTTCCGTGATGATGATGATGGTGATGGTGAGAATGACCCCCATGGCCACCATGTTCTCTGGTTTGAGTTGCCATGAGTGAAGTGGTTATGAGGTTCGGGGTAGATATTGTCTTTGTTGATGGTGTTAATGAAAGACGTGGAAGGGAGCGGACCCGAGCATTGGAGAAGAGGGGACTCTTATGGCGCTGAAGGATCGTTGATGTACAAAGGACTCGCTTCAGGGGTAAGAGACGCGCGCCAGGAGTGGAAATGATACCGGACCGCCCACTGAATACGGGGCGGCGGAGGACAAAAGTTGATGGTGGTGTTGTTGGTGATGGACGACCGGCCCTGCACCGCAGGGGCTGCGTCAGCGGCATCAGGGCGACGCACGTACTCCCCGGGGGAGTTAAGTTTAACTGTTTAAGGCACACGACAAATTAGAGGCAGCAGATTAGTTGGGGGTTGATTCGGAAGGCTGCGGTAGCTCAGGACACTGTGTTCTTCTTGGCTGTACCCATGTCTGGGAGGGGGTATCTCCAAAATAATTGATGGATAATATTATCTAGTACATGTTATTCTGTAGAGGTACACACAGCATCTTGGGAAGGTAGAAACCGGGAAAAAGAGATTCAAGAATGGTTTTGAATCACAGCCTCCTAGTTAGCATCCGGCTGAGCCAAAGCCGACATGTGCTGACAGGCTGACCTGACTGGCCCATCGGCTCAAAGCGGGCAGTTCTCCCTTCCGACGGCGGATCTGCCCTGTGCTGTATCTATCTACTGCTTCCATGCTCGAGTAACTGAGGGGTGAATAATGATCGTAGGTTTTATTGTTCTAGCTTAGAATGATAGTCAAGGAATGCTTCTATTTGCTAACTCTCAAAAGCTGCACCATCGTCCTTCAATTGTATGTGACAGTGCTGATGCTCAACATCGTCATGGAGACTGAACAGCAGGAGCACTATGATATCAGCCCAGTGGAGCTACAGTCCGGATGCTTGGCGATGCTCTGCCGATATCGCCAACTCTTCTTCGAAACTGCGGATGCCAATCTGGAACAAGCAACTTCATAAGACCAAGCCATCAATCTGGACTTGTGAATCTGCAAGTGTCCACAACCCAGAACGCGTGCGCGTTCCCTCTCTGCCAAGAAACGTCCACGCATGTCCTGTGTCGAATTGAATGGTGCATATTCGAATGCGTAATCATCTTACGCCTCATTGGACTCTCTGCATTAGTTAGAGACAGCTGTGGCTTGTTGGACTCCTACTCAAACTAATTTGGGCTTTTCCTTTCTGAAACGGTGCGGAGAGTGCTTTGTGCTTTTGATGAGTTGAACATTATGTCTTACCAGTCATCTACCACGTCAGCTCAGGTCCCTCATTCGGAGGGGCCCCGAGACTCGTGGAATTGGGTTTGAACTCGCACGAAATGTTCAAGCTGGTTCCTCCACTCATATTGAAGCCATTTGATAAAGTCGCAACCCAGTGAGGAGTTATGGTTTGCGACTGCTTCATATTCGAAACACCTCGTTATCATAGGACTAGGCCTCAATGATCCGAGGACCAATTGTTTAGACTATTTACTGGTCTAGTACTCGCGGAATCGTCTCCATGGTCCATCAATAGGAGCGAAGTGCGAACTGAATCGACCATAGCTGGAATGACTGTCTCATACGAAACTTACCTCTTCGCTTAGGTTGTACCGTTGTAGAGAAGAACCAGCACGAAAAGCAGACTAGGTGTTCTTGTCGTCTCATTGACTAGGGCGCGATGTACTACGTATATCTAATGCATATTATTAGGAGTAAAGAGGAAAGGGAGTCCTCTATGCCATTACTTTCTCTCTCACAGTGTGACTGGGTGAAGTTCAGGGAAGACTGAGTACATCTCATACTTGAGTTCAAAGGCGTACATAAATGCCAAGACAAGCCAGCATGTTAGCTCAGGGGAAGAGCGCCGGGCTCATAACCCGGAGGTCCCTGGATCGAAACCAGGACATGCTATCTGATTTCTTTTTTGATTTTCTTCCCTTCTATCCTTGTACGCTTGATGGTAACCAGTCCACGAGATAAGGTATCCATCGTGAGACCGAAATGACTTGTCTTATCCGTCATGTTTCCTCAAGCCATTTTCGCCTGATAAGAGAATAGCAACAATAGTCCATACTCCATACTAGGCACGGAGTATACTAGAGTTGAGCCCAAAGTTTTTGGTAGACTTATGTTTTTGCAGCTAAGCAATATAATAGACCTGCTGCCAACACCAACCCAATGTTGTTATCAGTCAAATTGGTCAGAAAGCTGCATAATTCTTCTCTCATAAGACCATTGCTCACCCATGCCATTCTGCTTCAGCATACTTCTCAATTCTTCAACTTTCTAGATGGTGAAGGACTCACGTGCTATGGGAAATCAAATTGCCCATGTACTTGTCTTGACGGTTTCGCCAGATATCGCTTAACTCTTCTCAAGACGGGCGAGAAAATGTTGAGCGAAGCTGAAATTCGTGCTTTGGAAGGCCAAATCGGTACCGCCGTACGCGAGGACATACCTGGTAAGTAGTTAGACTCTGGTGGAGCCTCCGTAGAGCTGACCGTATCAAGTTCAAAGAGCATCTGATCGAGGCGGGCACGAAGGAGGCGTCACTGCTGCTCAACTCATGAGCGAATCCATTAGAAGACTTTTGCACGAACGACTCCCCGACCAAGCAGGTCAACGCCCACAGTACTAGTGATGTCGACCCAGCCTGTCTCGCCGTCACGAGTTACATGATGCGGCAGCGGCCGTGTCCCAGGGGTCCCAGATGCCGCTCTCTAAAGTGCTATTTGGGCCATATGTGCTAGAAGGAAGGGTGCAAGTGCACCAGATGGTCTAAGTTTGGCCGTGATACCCACACTATGGACATTACAGTTGCCCATTGGCTTGCGCCAGTCGAACATGATGACCAAAGCGAAACGACACCTAGTGAGGCAAGCTCGAGAGTGAAAAAAATGGAGTTTGAAAAGATTGCCGACTCTCCGGGCGAAGGAGTCGAAGTCGGTCCTACTTGGAACAACTCTACCATAACCTTTCGCTGTTGGTTCACAAAGAACTATCTCTGTGTCCCTCGAAAAAATCATCTGTGATAAGCAGACGACGAACTACAATGGGGACTCGATGCAGATTGATCTATACTAGTCACCAGCTAAACCTTGGAACATAAGCAGTTGAAATGACACGAGAGAAGGAAATCGCCTTGGTCGTACATGGACTACGCTCACTGACAAAAGACATCTGGTTCACTGACACTTCGCGTTCTCGATGCTCCAGCTGGTATCATTAGACGATCATGGTCTCTACAACGCTGGTCATGCTTGCCTTCGGAAAGATTGCTGATATTGTTCATATGGAACGAATGGGGTTCGATGCGGACGTGGTCTTACTTGCGCCGGTGGTGTTAGACATTTGATACCTTCGGTCCGATCAGCTGGCTGAAACGTGATCAGCCTTCTTTGATCAGGGGTCAAACGACAAATTGCCGTATGGCATGTGCAACTAGGATTTCGTGACCTCAAGGAGTATCACTATGCAAGCTTTGCGACGTCAGCATTGTTATCAAGCTAATCGTGCGGAAGTCTCTGGGCAAGAACATGATTAAAAGTCATAGTCTATTTCTTAATGCATATATTCCGTGAAACAGAGCTGCCGCCTTTACCTTAGTATGAGCCTATCCAGAAATATATCGGCAAAAAAATTGGGTAGTTATGCACTACGATGGGAAGTGGAAAAAAGAAATCAAATAGCATGTCCTGGTTTCGATCCAGGGACCTCCGGGTTATGAGCCCGGCGCTCTTCCCCTGAGCTAACATGCTTGGGATTAATATTTCTGACTGTTTTTGGTTACATAAACCAAATTGGGTAACCATCCTCATCTTCAGGCTTGTGGCTTATTCAAAAAGCCGACTGATCATTACAAATTGCTTATTGCCGAAAAGAATGTGGGGTGTATGACCCGGTGCCTGTACGATTGAGGTCAGCGATGGGCAGGAACGTTAGTTAAAAATTGAGGTTTATTACACTACTATCTGCCTTAGTATGGTCATGACACAACGGATAGGTCTCTGAAGTTTTTTAGGGGCTATCAGAGTAATTATTACTAAGTGAAGAAGAGACGGACGTGAAGGAAGGGGGGGAAAAAAAAAGGATGATTGGGCCAGATACGAAGATGATGGACGTGGCCCGCGAAAAAAAGAATCAGATAGCATGTCCTGGTTTCGATCCAGGGACCTCCGGGTTATGAGCCCGGCGCTCTTCCCCTGAGCTAACATGCTTGGGATTGATGAAAGCAAGCGTGATAATAATTCTATAAATTAGGAGTCAGAGATAAAATGGCAATGTATAGAGCGAGAGGAGTACAGAGTGATCGCATCGATTGGATCGATCTGTGAGGGTAGGCAATAATTGGTGTCAAGGATAGCAGCCTCTTCCGCTTCGTATATCACCTCTAAAATAAATTTGATTCCCTGTTGGAGTGGCACGAAGTGATTGCCTCAGGCAAGTAAACGATTCCTCAATATATATGTACGCCGATGTTGCCATCAAGAACACAATAGGGCGCCGACGACATCACAGCGGCAAGCTGCTTTATCAACCAGCAGATATGATTTATGATGAGGCGTCGACAAATGCCCCAATTCAGCAAGACTTTTTACTGTTTTCAATTCTTGATGATATCTCAGTCCAACCGGAACATGAACCTCATGAGCATCACAGGCGAGCAGACCGTCGAAGAACCCACCACAGAACACACAAGGTACTTTCAAGAAGTTTTCTTCTCTCGTGAAGTCTCTCTCTTGATCCCTCCAGTCTCGTAGATGATCAACTCATCGCGCTCCCACATCAACTCGACCGCAGCCCCCACTGGCCCGACCAGAGTCACCAACAACACAGCCTTCTTTAGCAGATCAAGCCATCCAACCTTGCCATAAACGACCAGATGAGCAGTCTTATACAGACTCAAGGCCCAAACCAACACGCCCGCGGAGCCGATCAGATAATCCCAGCGCAGAAACACATGTACACCCTCCCCGATATCGCTCACTTGCAATGCTGGCTTTGTCCAGGGCAAGGCAATCTGGAACACCTTGAACGGATGCAAAACTGCCAACAGCCGCTTCTCAAAGATGACGGGTGCAAGTACGGTAGCCAGAGACACGATCCACGAGATGAGATGGGTCAACGCAGCGTTGGCGAATGCAAAGGCATACACGAATCGGAGCGACCGAAGATTCGCGCGTCCACCCTCAACCGATTGATCACTGCTCGTAGAGGAACCGCAGACAAAGTTGATTATGGTGAGAGCAATCGCGACGTATGCAGGCCAGGGGTGCCAGGAGGCAATAAATATTTGCTTCATGTCGACGGTGACATGCTCCGAAACAGGCAGAATCATCAGCAACGTAGGAACCATGAATCCAAGGATAAAGACCAGAGGGATGGCATTTAGAATTGCGCGAGGAATGCGAATATTCTCAGCATTGGGCTTGCGCGCCGTGACGGAGTTGTATAGCTGAAAAGCGCAGTACAGGGGTGTGGCGAAGGCGAAGGTGAGTACCTGCGCTAGGAGGCCGAACATCGTGGGACTGTCTTCCTGTCAGCTTCTTCTGTCATAGATGCGACTGAGGGTTACAGACAATGCAGCGATCGTCCAGGCATTTCCGCGTCTCCAGGACTCCAGAGTCACGAGCGTCCAGGCAGCACCAAAGGTGCCAGAGAAGGCGATGGAATGCAACGTCAGGGTAGGATTACTGCCATCCGTGGCAGGCCAGAAAAAGGTGGTCAACGCAGCCAGCACATTATCCACCGGCGCAATACCCGTATAGACAGTGCGCAGTGGCTCATTGGTGCCTGGCAGCGTCTTTGCAGTGATGGCTTCCTGTGCCAGATGATTCAGGCCGTTGATTTCGGCGAAGTAGAAGATGGCATACAGCGCGAACACGCTGAGCAGGGGAAGGACTAGCTTGGCTGTCATCTTGCTCGCAATTGATGTTCTGGTACATAAGGCGATCAGCATACAAGTGAAACATATTAGAACGTTGACATTGACATATTTATAACTGATTCTCGAGATCTCGATCTTACGTTCGGAGCTCGGTTGACGGCGGCATGATTCACACAACATATTTCCTGAATCGGCAATCCTTGCGAAATAATGTGGAGGAATAACGGATCACCGGCCAATGTTTGGTTTTCAGGTGTTCATGTCTGCCGCAATAGATCTCCAAGCTCTATACCGAGGCAGTGGGATCAATCACAATCTCCGGTCGGAAAGGAACACGGTCAGTGCACATCATTTATGATTCACATGGTGATAGATTTGCCAAATTGGCTCGATGAACAATGGCTGGCCTATTGTCCTAGAAGACCGTAAATGGTACATTTGTTGGCGGTCCCATGAGACTTTTACTCCAGGCGAATTGTGCCGGTGATTTCCATGTCAAAAATAATGGCGTCCTCCCTTGAGCAGCTGTCTTAAATATTGGTATCTCAACACGGACAGCGCTAACCCCCGACGCTTCTGAATCTGTTCGAAGAACCAACAAGCTCGCAATGTGGTCTCCGATCTGGCGTCTTAAACACCGATGCGAGTGAAGGTGTGGGCGCTGTGCGATCCCACCGCTGGCTTTGGAACGAGTTTAACACCGGCCAAATGTCGCGAGCATCACAAGGAAAATGACCCGTCGTGGTCTCGAGGATCGATCGGATCAGTCACTATATCGCATGGATCGATATGGAAAAGCAACCCAGATATGTGCTTTATACACCAACGCAGGCGATTCAAAACGGTTTCGGAATCCAGTCCGTTCTGTAAGTGGTTATATATATGAAGCGAGCCAAATGCTTCTCGAACCGTCGCGGTGAACAGATCTACAGATTTCAGCCTGAATGCAAACAGTCCGGTTGATATCAGGCTATATAAAGAATTATGGCAGCATTGAATGCAGTATCATTCTCATGAATGTGTTCTTTCGCAAAGAAACATATTCGACAATGGAGTCATTCCCAGAACCTAATCCAGTCAAGAAACTCACCATTGCTGAATATCTTCAAATTGCCGTGACGGTTTGTTTTCGACTGCCATGGAGTGTCTTGACTACTCTCTTGCGGCGCTGGGTGCCCTGGTCTACTTATCATCCGCCCCCGCTTAGGGAACACGTCTTCCGGCATGTCATGACCTGGTGTGTATCCATCAAAACCAATCCTTGACTATGTGATTTGTATCATTCAATGTTCATACGGTGTCAATTCTCTCGTAGCCTGGGAAATAACACACCCGGATCGCTCTGGGACAACGTTGCCGATCGAACCGGCCAGAACCTACTCACCTCGAACCGCTACGGGCATCTCAAACGCCAGATCTACCAGAGCGTACGTAGAGCAGACTTCTGCGGCTTCTGGCTTTGTCGTGGACTGTCAGCAAAAGCGATCCACCCCCGCGATGCGGATCTCGTGCTCTTCCACTGCCACGGCGGCGGATATGTGAGTTTCCACCCGTCTGCCGGAGCGCCAGAACACCTCTTCATGGCGGAGCTTCTCCAACGGCATGGGCTCACGGTCGCCATCTTCTCCCTGGACTACACCCTCGCCCCGGCAGCGACGTTCCCGAAACAGCGCGACGAAGCGATTGCCGCCTACGACTGGATCAACAAGGAGCTAGGCGTGGACGCATCCAAGATCGTGGTGATCGGCGATTCCGCCGGGGGGCATCTGATCGTGTCTCTACTGACCGGCCTTCACCAGCGCTATCACAGAGCGAACGATGGACATGACGCGGATCACCCGTGTGACCGACCAGCCGGAGCAATCCTGGTCAGCCCCTGGTTGAATCTACACACGTCCCATCCACGCGCGCTGGCGCTCCACTGGGAGGAGCGGCTCTTCAAACGCTCGCTAGACAAATGCTGCGAGCAGGTGATGCGGGACGCGCCCGCCGACATCGCCGACGTGTACAGCAACTTCGCAGTCGACGTGGCAGCGCGCGGATCGTGGAAGGAGATTCTCCCCGACCGCACGTGGGTCTCAGCCGGGGCGGAGGAGCTGGTATTCCTGTACGACATTGAGGATTTTGTGGCTCATGCACGGCGTGACGGGGCAGTAATCGCGCTGGATGTGACTGCAGGCAAGAATCATACGTGGCAGTGCTCCGAGGCGCTCGGGCAGCATCCGAGACTACTGGCGATGAAGCCCGGGGAGGATGACGAGGGGCTGATGACAGGGTATCGACGGATAGCGGAGGAGATTCTGAAGCTTCTCGATCGATGACTGTGTGGCTGGGATGATTATCTAGATGAAGCGCGCGGCATGATGGAATGAAGGGCGATCTGTTTCATTGGTGGGGGGAACGGCTCATCTGCAGAGTGATATCATTATCAGATCCAGTTTTAGATCATAACATCAATCACCTCTATAAAGTCAACAAGATATGGACTTTTTCTGGCAATCTAGACAGGACATCCCAACCTCTAGTTATCTTCCCAAAGAACCAATCCGTCATCTACAGACTACAACCTATCAAAATGCCTGCTGTTATGGCAAGTCTCGCAACTCCATCGAGCGAAATCTATCTTCTAACAGTCACGGTAATATAGATAACGCTAAATTCAAGTGCGACCGACGATCAAATCAAACAGTAAGTGTCGCTTCACGCTAGCGATGCCATGCACTGACAACCTGACAACCCAGGGTGAAAGACAACATAACCTCAAGCGGCGGCAGCATCAAATCGGACTTTGAACTGGTCAAGGGCTTCACGTTCGTCTATCTGTCCTCGAGACACCGACTCACGCTAACAAGGTCATGCAGTGCTGAGGTTCCAGACGGGATGGTGGGAGTCTTGTCGAACCATGATCTTATTGAGAATGTGGAGGAGGACGCGAACGTGAGCACTCAGCGGTAGAGATAGATACATTCTGTACGATATGGGATCTAGATACGACTATATACGCCTCCAGGAGATAGAGGCATTCATCATGGCTTGTACGCATCCAACGCCGCATACACAGCCCTGACATACTTCTCAGTCCGTGGATTCCCCAGCGTCCCAGCCCCCATCTTATTCAACGTATAAGTAATCGTCACCTTACGATCGAGATCCATAACCGCCATTGACCCACCCCAGCCTCCCCAGAAGCACACTTTCCCCTGCGGCATCCACTCCAACGCCTTATTCTCCGGCACCGGCAAGCCCATGCCCATCCCAAACCGGAGAAAGACCCCCAGCACCAGATCCACGCCGCTGACCTGCTCCTGGAAGATCAGATCGATCGTCTGCGGCGAGAGGAAGCGCTTCCCGTTTACGCTCCCGCCCAGCGTAACCATCGAGGTAATCTTGTTGATCGCTCGCGCGTTGCCAAATCCGCCCGTCGCGCCTTGCTCCGCGCGGCGGAACTCAGGCGTCATGCTCGCTGTTGCGTCGGCGGGGGTCCCGCGGAATGCGCGCATAGCGATACTCTGCGGATCGAGGGCAGGAAACGGTGCTGCAGACGGGGGTACGATATCCGCCGTGCGCGGCCAGTCCTTCTCCGCGACGCCGAGCTGGAAATCCGCGTCGAGCGGAGTCGCAAGCTCGTCGGCGATGAACTGCGTCAGCGACTTGCCTGAGATGCGGCGCACGAGCTCGCCGAGTAGGAAGCCCTGGGCCGAGAGGTGGTATCCCGAGGCGGAGCCGGGCGTCCACCAGGGTTGTTGCTGGATGAGTTTCTGCGTGGCCAGGGGCGTGTTGTAGTATTCTTCGAGGGACAGGGGCGAATCCCAGGCGGGTAAGCCGGCGGTATGGCTGAGGAGATGGCGGACCTCGATGTCCTGCTTGCCGTGCGCGGCGAACTCGGGCCAGTACTGGGCGACTTTGGCGTAGGGGTCGAGCTGGCCGCGGTCGACGAGGGTGAGTGCGGCAAGGGCAGTGACGATCTTGGTGACGGACCAGACGGGGGTGATGGTGTCTCTGGTCCAGGGCTTTGTGCGCTCATTGTCTGCGTAGCCGCCCCAGAGGTCGACGACGGTCTCGCCGTTGATGTTTACGCAGATGTCGGCACCGAGTTCCTCGCCGGAAGCGAGGTGCTCCTCAAAGAGGGCTTTGAGGGGAGAGAAGGCCGGATGGCAAGTGCCTTGGACTTGTGCCATTGCGATTTGACTTTGAGGCAGTTGTTGGTGTTGAAATGAAGGATGAGATGAGGCAGAGAATCTCACCGCGGGGTAGAGCTGTTCAGTTCCTTGGCAAGCAGATAGTAGGCTGCCATGATGAGTCTAGTGGGCCTTCAGCTGCGACCATCGCAGACTAGAATAGAATGTTTGCCCAGGGTTAGTGCTTATATTACCCACGAGCCATGTGTACGCAGAACCGAACCTGATTGATGGCTCATGAAGCATGACATTCGATCCTTGCCGACGAGACCAGCTAGGACCGAGAGGCCGATAGAAATGAAGCACACGGAGCGACAATTGGAGAAAACTGTAGCTGCGGAAACAAGTTGTAGCCTTGTTAGCGAGTTAGTATCAACATTCATAAATAATACCAAGAGGCTTGTTCATGATGCTGCAACATCCGAGGTCGACTTGGATGACATCATGTCTCATGAACATCCCAACTACTTTCGGGCACTTGATCTCTTTACAAACAACATCTGAAACAGATATCGATTCAGTCTCATCAACATTCTTAAATTGATTGTTGAAGTGTGGATAAACATTCCGAGCCGCTGTACTCAACCATGGATGCTCCGGGTCAATGACATCAAGTCTCAGAGTGACCGAAACACCTTGATCGCGATGTAGACCTTCTAAACACAGGATACTGCACATAATTGCAAGCTGCACGGCTGTAAAAAAATGCCATCTCCCAATGTAAGAGCCAGTAGCCTTTCACCCGCAAACTCCGACTTGGAAGAGGCTCCCACCTTCGAGGATATCCGCTCGGAGCCTGTCAGCCGGCGTCAGACGAACATCGATCTCGCTCGAGTAGAGAGCCTTCGTCTGACACATAGATCCACGGTCGGCTCCTCGGCAGGGCCAGCGCCTCGAGAAGAATGGCTTCCATTTGGCGTCGGGAAGGACTATCCACCCCTACTACCTGATCCAGAGAAATACGTTGTTGGATTCACCGGAGTAGATGACCCCATGCACCCGCATAACTGGTCGATGTCTACAAAGTAAGTTGGCATGAGACTGTCAAGTCGGAATGCGATGCTGATGGCTGCTTGCCAAAGGGTGCTACTGTCCGTCATCCTAGCCTACATCACCTTCACCGCATCATTTGCCAGCGCCATATTCTCATCCGCTATCGGCGCCATTGCGGCGAAGTTCAGCATCAGCATAGAAGTTGCCACATTAGGGGTCACTCTGTATGTCCTCGGATTCTCGGCAGGACCAACAATATGGGCCCCTGCCTCAGAGCTGATCGGGCGACGGTGGCCGATCACGATAGGAATGCTCGGATATAGTATCTTCACGATCGGGACTGCAACAGCAAAAGACACGCAGACGCTCTTCATCACTCGCTTCTTTGCTGGGCTGTTCGCCGCCAGTCCCTTTGCCATTGTGCCGGCTGCCTTTGCCGACATGTACAACAACAGCCAGAGAGGCATAGCGATTGCCATGTTTGCAATGGCCGTCTTCGTCGGCCCCTTCGCATCCCCCTTCACCGGCGGCTTCATAACAATGAGTTACCTGGGTTGGCGATGGACCATGTACATTTCCGCCATCATGGGGTTCTTCGGTGTCGTCCTCCTGATCTTCTTCTACAAGGAGACATACGCTCCGGTGGTTCTGATGGAGAAGGCAGCAACGCTGAGGCGCCAGACACACAACTGGGGAATCCACGCAAAGCAGGACGAGGTTGAGCTTGACCTTAACGATCTGATCACAAACAACTTCAGCCGGCCGATTCGCATGCTTCTGACCGAGCCCATCGTGTTCCTCATCACAATCTATATGTCTTTCATATACGGGATCCTGTATGCACTGCTCGGAGCCTACCCGGTCGTGTTCCAACGCACCCACAGAATGAATCTGGGCGTGGGTGGCCTGCCATTCATCGGCCTGATCGTGGGCGAGTTCGCTGGCGGAGTCTACTCCTTGATCGACGCCAAGTATTATGGGCGCAAACTGCGCAATAACAACGACATTCCAATTCCAGAGTGGCGACTACCACCGGCCATTGTCGGCGGCATCGCCTTCGCAATCGGCTTGTTCTGGTACGGCTGGACAGGATGGACACGCTCGATCCACTGGATGGCTCCCACGGCTTCTGGGGTATTCACCGGATTCGGAATCTATGTTATCTTCCTGCAGTGCTTTAACTATCTGATTGACTCATACCTGCAATTGTGAGTCCATACCTGTTGCGTGTGGGTCGTTTGTGTTAATGTGTACCCAGTGCGGCATCGGTCTTCGCTGCCAACACTATCCTTCGCTCAGCTGTCGGCGCTGGTTTCCCACTCTTTTCTCGCCAGCTCTTTATGAACCTCGGAGTGCAATGGGCAGGAACATTATTGGGATGCTTGGCGCTCATTATGATTCCAATACCGTTGGCTTTTATCAAGTTTGGTCCCAGGCTAAGGCGGCGTAGCAGGTTTGCTCCATCGCCAGTTGTGTTTGAAGAGAAATCGGGTTAGTTTCTGAACAGGAGGGGATCAATGAATTGATTGCAACTTTGCAAGAGGGTGATCAATGTACAGGCAGCTGGACGAAGAGCTCAGCATTTACAACAACCGGCGAGAAGATATGGATAAACAGAGCAAACGAGACAAACAGACATGGATTTTCCAACAGACTAACCACAGCTGACCACCTCAACCATCCTTGGATCTGCAAGGCACGAGAATGATATCGGATCCAGGAGGCAGACACTCTGATCATCAGTGCTGGCGCCGAACTGTCAGCTGTCATTGAATTGAATTCGGATTATGTCCCTGGCCCAGTTTAAGCCTTACTTCTCTGCTTACTTCCGGCTTTAAGCTGTCCTCCGGCTGCTTTTATCCCCGTAGGCTTACATCGGTTGTACGATGATGTCGGATTTAGTGGTTGGGAGTCTCTGAATAAGAAAAAGTGATACTATCTACAGCATCTGGCCATGGTCGCCGCCAAAGCTTCGGGTCAACCGTCTAATTCGCACCTCCAATGCAGACGGGCTTTTCGTTGGATCATTGCCAAAATGAGCAAAGTGAAGGCAAGTTGAGAGCAAGTATGTTCACATACCTCAACGGCTTCAGTGCCAGCGCACGATTCTCTTGCATCAGCTTGACAATTTCACCCCGCAGCTGAATCATGCGATAGAGCCCGTGGAGATGGACCAGTTCCGTTGCAGGCTGATGATGTACTTGCTGATAGATTGCGAGGCTGACCACAGCAGCTATGGCGCTGTCGGAAACGGAGAAGAAGCCCGACAACTTAATGTTGGCCAAAGCATACGCCTGGGAGATGTGGTGAAGACTTTTGGACGATATTGCGGGTTTCCGCTGGATGGAGTCAACGTAAGACGCGAATATAGCTAAGATGCTATGAAAATCTGCATGCCGATGGTCAACGATGCTGTCACTCACATGCTTCGTTTGCTAGAATGTAGTTGACCCAAATTGACTGTATAATGTCGAACTTGGTACAGAATTGCGGCGGAAACAGCGCGTCACTATTGTCAAAGAACCCTGTGACTCCAATGTCAGAGGCAAGGGAATGCGGATAATCAGTCAATAATGAACGTAGCATAAGCCGATGCATGAGCGCCGTGGACTCGGAGTCGAGCTCTTGGGGGAACGTAGTGAGACACAGGTCGCCCCAGAGCACCTGACGCGGCATCACATATCCACGTCCTGGAGCATTCAAGAGGTGCTTGACCTCTACGACAGTCTACTGCTTCTTGGTGGATCAGCGCTGCTTGCCCGTATTCTTGCCTCGCATGACGTGGGAGCGGATGATGTGCCTATCAGAGCTGCCTATCCTGTTGGGGCTCTGGTTAATGAACTGCAACGCCACGGCGAATGTGATGGTTTCATGCTATTCTCGCTCAGGTAGGGCCATCCAGCGGGTCCCTTGTTCTGTGTTTCTGGGCTTCCAAAGCTGCGACAACGCAGATGATACAGGGAGTGCTGTTGGTTGATGAAGATGACACGGGCGATTTGCTCGCCTCCGCTGATATACCCCGCTCATTGTGGAATCTGTCGACAGATTAGTTGCATTAGTTAGCTAACTACGCGGCAATAGCTCCGCTATGCCTGATTGTAAAGAGGTGGACGAACATCTCAACATCTAGATACAGCAATAAGCGAGATCACGTGGGTAAACAGAACAAACAGGACAAACATTAATGCATCAGCAGCAGATGCCATTCCTGAGGCCACTATGGCACATGATTAATAGCTTGTCTGTCTGAAGAGTCTCTAGACTCATGCTCTCCACTGCGAGTTGACAATAATAGACATTATTCTGATATGATCAATGGTGAGCTGTCAGAGTGAATCCTTATCAATTGCTGATAACCCCAGCATCCTTGAGATAGGAGTTCGGAGCGATACGACAACAACGCTAAGTCTCAGCCTAGGTACATTCTACTACTACCTTATCATCACTCAGACGTCAGTCAAGCACGAGACCATGCACAATTGCCTCGGTGATATCCGCTGGATATCTTACCATTTACAAAGCTCCTTGTTGCGTTATTGTGCAGTCATAGAAGCTACACACGGAGGAGACTCGAGCCCTTCTATTCCCACATATTTTTCGCCATCAAGACCCCGAGATATCCGTCGACCAATGTGCTTCAGGCTTTTTGATTCGACCCGCTGAAACCAACGTCCCGATCGACAATTACCACACAGAACAGAGGTCTCACACTGGACAGAACCACGGATTGCCAAGGACTGCCAAGCTCTGGACCTCAGAGATAAGCCATTGATCGAATCAGATTCTTCCGTTGGCGAAATTTTTTCTCCATTTTTTTTTCCCGTTTTCTTATCGGTCGCGTGGTTGGTCATGCATGTCATGAAGGGAACCGAAATAAAAGTCGCATCGCGTCTCCAATCTGTGCGCGAGTTTTTCCCTCCGTGACTATCTGTCTGGCTTCAGGCTGGTGCCTCTTTCTCCTTTTTTTCTTTCTTATTTACTGTCGCATAATGGGGATCACTCAGGCGGTCGACAGAATCAATCTCCGGGTGGCTCAAAGCCCTGTTGGGCGATGGTTTCGCCTGGAGAATTCAGGCCATGTCAGTATACTTCTACCTCTACTTGCGGAGGGTTAGGTCAAGCGCTCAGAAGAAAGCTTACCGATGAGACAGCCGAAAGAACGCAAAGGCAGCTACTTCTTCACCGAAATTCGCGCCGGTCTCGCTACCTTCTTCGCTATGGCCTACATTATCAGTGTCAATTCCAACATCACCTCCGAATCGGGCGGCACCTGTGTGTGTCCTCCCGAGAGCCAGGCCGATCTGTGTAACAGCAACACCGAGTACCTGCTCTGTGTTCAGGAAATCAAGCGCGATCTCGTCACTGCTACGGCTGCCATTGCTGCATTGTCTACTTTCTGCATGGGTCTTTTCTCCAACTTGCCTGTCGCCCTGGCCCCCGGTATGGGCCTCAATGCCTATTTCGCTTACACTGTCGTGGGCTACCACGGCTCCGGCATGATCCCGTATAGTCTTGCTCTTACCGCTGTCTTTGTCGAGGGTTTCGTTTTCTTGGGCTTGACTCTGCTTGGTATCCGACAATGGTTGGCGCGTGCATTGCCAGCCTCGATCAAGCTCGCCACGGGCACGGGTATTGGTCTATACCTCACTCTTATTGGATTGAGTTACAGCGCAGGTATTGGCTTAGTAACAGGGTCTACCGAGACCCCGTTAGAATTGGCAGGTTGCATTTCTTCTCTGCGTGATCCTACGACTGGCATGTGTCCCAGCGATGCTAAGATGCGCAACCCGGCGATGTGGGTGGGCATATTTTGCGGCGGTGTGTTCACCGCGCTGCTGATGCTGTATCGGATCAAGGGTGCTGTGATCATTGGTATCTTGCTGGTTTCGATCATTTCCTGGCCGCGACCCACGCCGGTCACCTACTTCCCTCATACGGAGCTCGGTGACAGCATGTTTGATTTCTTCAAGCAGGTCGTGACCTTCCATCCCATCAAGCATACCCTGGTTGCTCAGGACTGGAGTCTCTCAGGCCACGGTGGGCAGTTTGGGCTGGCCTTTATCACGTTCCTGGTAAGTCCGCGTTCTGAAGTTATACGCCATCCTTTACTGACCAGCGTGTAGTATGTTGATATTCTTGACACCACCGGTACTCTGTACTCTATGGCCCGGTTTGCTGGAACCATCGATGAACGCACTCAGGATTTTGAGGGTAGTGCCCTTGCTTATGTATGTTTCACTCCTCTTCAGTGTATTTTTTCGATCAATCTAACGACGATCTCAGATGGTCGACGCGATCAGTATCTCTATCGGTTCTCTCTTTGGCTCGCCCCCTGTGACCGCATTTGTCGAAAGTGGTGCTGGTATCTCTGAGGGCGGAAAGACGGGTCTTACCTCCTGCGTAACAGGTATCTGCTTCTTCATTGCCGTCTTCTTCGCCCCGATCTTCGCCTCTATCCCTCCTTGGGCTACCGGCTGCACGCTGGTGATTGTTGGCGCCCTGATGTGCAAGGCAGCCGCCGAGATCAACTGGCGCTACTACGGCGACGCCATTCCCGCCTTCCTGACCATCGCCATCATGCCCTTCACCTACTCCATTGCCTATGGTCTGATTGCCGGTATTCTTAGTTACGTCCTCATCAATGCCACAGCCTGGCTCCTTGAGAAGGGCTCCGTCGGTCGGGTGGTGCCCCCGAACAAGGACGAGTCAGACCCATGGTCGTATAAAGTCCCCGGAGGATTTTTCCCTCCCTGGCTGCGACGGGCCGCTCGGGGCAAGAAGGACTTCTGGCGCGAGGATGAGGAGGAATCCGTGGATATGGGGGTCGTGCCTGGTGGATCTGTCTCTTCGCATGACCGGCCGGAGGGAGAGAAGAGTGGAGTGGGTGTAGGGAACAAAAGCCTTTGATATATAGCCTTGGTATAGCATAGTATAATGTAGTTTTCACACCACGCCTAGGTAGTTTGCATCTCGAGCTGATGACTCGGATGCCGTATTAGTTCATAATCATAAAAAGCGAATATTACTTTCGATAAAGAGAGAATCCATTTCAACTTCTGAGGTCCTAGTAGCCTGATATGGGTACATTCTACCTGCATGATTCCGGCCACCCGCCAAGAGTCGGAGACAAGGCCGGGACTTGACTTCGGCATCTGCGAGATATTCCATTTAATAAAGTTAAACATCACAGAACCAGAAGGTAATAATAGCTACCAAGTAATAAAGGAATACCACTATATATCACTTTAATAATTCATACAGCAAGAAATATCCAGTGGGTGATTACAAGACAATACTGCGGAGAAGCATAACAGGTCCATCCGCCAATCAGATGGGACAATTTACTTGGAACAGGCCTGGGATGGCGTAATCAATACCAGCTCCGTCACGGGCATTGGGGTTTCTTACAGGTCTGGTTCGGGGTTGATCGCATCAAGATCCCCTTCACTTTTGGCCCCTTCCATCATGTTAGCATTAAACCCCGATCGCCCTCCCCTTGTTCTAATTGATCTTTCTCTCCTTCTCTCACTTATCGGCCCTTCCTTGATTCCAGCTACCCGGAATGGCCTGAGTCCACAGCAATACCCCACCCATGGCCGAGTCCAAACCGTCTCCAGCCCCGTCTGGTGGCTCTGGTACAAATGAAGCTCAGCAAAAGCGGAAAAATGTCGGTACAGCGTGCTCGGCCTGTAAAACGCGCAAGCTCAAGGTGTGTGGTTGTCAGCTCCTTTATGACTCGGAGAAGACTACGGCGTTGTGCTAACCCCAGTTCAGTGCTCAGGAACCTCCCCATGCACTAACTGTATCAAGAACAACGTCGAATGTACCTTCGACGCCAGCGCCGATAAACGCCGCCGCGGCGCCCTAAAGCGCAAGGTCAACCAGCTCGAAGAGAAAGAGGACCTCCTGATTCAGCTCGTCAGCACCCTGCGCGAGAGCGGCACTCGGCGCACCATCCAGCTCCTCAACCTCATCCGCAGCAACGCCTCCCTGGCCGAAATCCAACTCTACATAGATACGCAGCTGAAGTCCGAGCTGGAGCAGACACCGGAACTCATCGAAGTGTGCAATGAGATACAACGGTTTGAGCAGATGGGGTCGCGGTCGCGGCGGCGTATTCTCGACGCGCAGAGGGCTCTCGTGGAGCCATTGTTCCGTGTGCCGGCGGCCCCGTGGACGACTGTCACCGCGGATGACGAGCATGTATCGCATCTGATTTCGTTGTGGTTTACGTGGGTTCATCCGTTCTATCACTGGATCGATCGGGAGTTGTTTCTGCGGGACATGCAGTCGGGGTCATTGGACTCGAAATTTTGTTCGCCCTTTTTGGTGAATGCCATCCTGGCCGATGCGTGTGTAGGTAGTCCGGTTCGACGTACTTGGACTTGCTGGTGACAGGTGACAGGCATACTCGGATAGTTTAGAGTCGGATGCTTCTTCGAGAGACGCGGCCGCCCAGGGTGTGCGCTTCTACAACGAGGCCAAACGATTGCTAGATAAGGAAGAAGGCAGAATCACCCTTGCGACTGCCCAAGGACTGGGAGTTTTATGGATATGGTATGTTTCAATCGCTTGCTAGTGCGGGCCTCTGCTGAAATACCCCAGCGCTTCCATGACCAGGAAAGATCGACATGGCTGGATTCATCAGAGCCAACTTGCGTACGCCGTTCAGGAACTGTTTCCGAGCATCACAGCTCCCAAGGATGCTGACGGTGAGGCGCTTGACTTGGCCCGAGCGGCCAATGTAACAATTTGGGGTTTGTTCAACATCGCGATGTACGCAATGCCGTGTCTTTTACCAGTGCCGGACGGCTAGAACCAGGGACGACTGACCAGTCCCTGGACCCAGGACCCATGCCGTATCGAGTAGGAAAGCGCCTTTGATTAAACCGCCCCGAAAGATACGCCTCCCGCCCATCACCCATGGCCCGGACGCCGACCTGTGGGTACCATATCCAACCGAGTCCGAAAAATTGCAAGCGCATACGCTGTGTACGTTCCGAGCCCTCTGCAGTCTGAATGAAATCGCCTACGATATTACCTACCCCCATTTGCACGGGGAAGTCAGCTCGTCAGAGACGGAAAAGACCGACGAATTGCAACGACGACTGCGAGAGTGGCAAAGCGAGCTACCGCCCTGCCTGAAGGAAAGGGACGCTATTGAGGTTCCGCACGTCTTATGTCTTCAGTAAGCTTCTCGTCCCCGACGCGTACGTTTGCAAGGAGTGGAGGCTGACTATTTGTAGCATGTACCAGCACGCGCTCATTATAACCGTCTACGAACTTTTATGCAACACTGGGCAGAATGGTCAATCGGACCACCGACTTTTCCACATGATGCCAAAGAGCCACCAGGAGGCCTGCTTGTCATCTGCAAGGAGCATCTCTCAGCTGATGCGCCTTCATCGTTCCGCGTGGGGTGTTGAACGCATGCCACAAGGCACCAGCCAGCCGATCAACATAGCCTTACTCGTCTTGCTCGAACGGCTGGATGTATCCGAAAACCGTGATGCGTTCATTAACCTCAGCATAGCCGCGAAAGCTGCATCTCGACGGTGGAGCTCGAGCAAAGCTGCTCTGGATAGGATCCGCACGCGGGCTATCATCCATGGCCTTCATCTACCGACCGAAACAGATTCGTTATTTGCTGACTTTGGAAAGCGACCCGAAAATGAGCCTTCAGATGAGTCTCCGTTCCCCATGGCCGACACGATCGAAACCTCGGACGGCGAGGGTTCCGACATGTGATGTATATCGGCTTTGCATTAATCAAGTCAAGTCTTGAAAATAGATTAGACTGCGTTGGCTTGACTCAGCTTGTGCACGTCTTTTCTACATAGCTAGTGCTCTCACTTCGTCGGATTGAGCTCTCAGGTGCCTCACCGGTATCCAACAGGCGGCCGCGCATGCGACACCACGACAGGCGCTAGCGATTTAAATGCGTTCAGCGGACGATCTTGACGATATGAGATCTCCAGCACTTTCGATTTTTGCCGATGATGTGGCCAGTCTGCACGGTACGTGCCTACGCACGGTTTCTGCCATAGTGCTGTGCTACTCTCGGCGGCGGCCTAGGCTTCGGCCGCAATATGGACGAAGAGGCCCCTGATTTTTACTCTGTTAGTCCCACTTACCAAGCTATGGACATTCGGCACCCGGCTTTCTGTACATTAGCAAGCACCAGATTTGTCCCTCCTCAGCGTTGGAGAGTTAGAATTACTCATATGGTATCAGAACCAGAACCTTTATCAGCCTTGTCACGCGAATTCGCATCATAAGTCTATTAATCCTGCCATCAACCAGAGCGTTTCCGGCGTACACGCCACGTCAACATGTTGATCGTTATCGTCATTCCATCAGTCATAAAAGAAGCCATCAGGCAACCGAGTCAGCGCCCTTCAGCGGCTTAAGAGACATACGTGGGTAATAGTGCGGGAAATAATGCCACGAGGCCCAAACCAGCACCGTCGCCAACGTCAGCGGCAGCGTGATAACCCAATACAGCCAGAAATTCCCCGACATGATCCACGACTTCGCCCCACCATCATTCGACAGATTGAAGAAGTTCGTCCCGAACAGACCCTACATCCTCAAATATCAGCCATTGTCCGCCACCCAAAGTTCGACGAGGCTTGCATTGAACATACCGATATAAACGTCCCCGGCAAATAAAGCATACTCACAACCGCCACCGTCTTCATCATCGCACCATCCTTCTGCGAAACAAGATTAAACGCCAGATTGATCTCGTTGCGCAGCCGCTCACTCAGCGATTGCGACCGCGTCAGGAGCGAATGCAGCTGTTTCGCGACGAAGTGCGCCCGCTGCGCGGTGTGGATCCAGCTGCCCCTGTTTTTGTTTATCAAGACTGGATGCTCGGCGCGGAAGCGCGCCTGCTCGTCGATTAGAGATTGCATTGTGTGCGTCGCGACCGCGAGGGTTTCGTTCGCGTGGAAGATGTGTCGGGCGATGTCGTGGAGGTTGGGGAAGTTAAGCACGGGTGGTTTTGGTTCGTTGCGGGCCTGGGCTGCTTTTAGCTTTGGGAAGCAGAACATTGGCTGAATGGGTGAATGGCTACCTTTTCGATAGGCCGGACGAGATGACGCAGAGACCAGATTGACGTATCGTATTCTTCCACCACGCCTTGTGCGAAAAGCGTGTGCCAGATGTATGGATTCCCGCGCTGGGTTGGGGAGGGTCGATGCGCGGCGAGATACTGTGCCATGACGTCCGGTAGGTTCAGGAAGAAGACGAGCTGCCGGTTTGCTTGCGGGTGCCATTGGACGAAGACAGCCGTTTGGATCCAGGCGTATACGCCTGGTTTGACGACGTGCTTGATCTTGAAGCAGGTCCATGATACTATATAGATCAGTATGGGGCTGAGCATGAGGGCTGGAGGTTGGACAGACAATGCTTGGTGACTTTTCCTTCGTCATCAATATCATAGTCGCAGAAGAATGTCCCGTTCAGGTCTGCCTTGATGACGGGGAAGAAGTCGGGTGGGAAAAAGATATTTGGATTTTTTTGTCTTAGGACGGGCGAGTCGTCAATGCTTTCCTCGGGGTAATTGGCGTATCTGTTTTCCGGTGTGAGATTGTGCTGGTCAAAGCTGGAAAAGACGTACAATAGAACTATCGCAGGTGGTTGACGTTGGTAATTCTCTAATTCCTGCCATAGATTTGCCTGTCGCGACGTCCAGGTATTCTGGTCTGTCGATGCTAAGCGTTTAGACACTCAATAAGACTCAGCGGTTAAAGAACATACATACCACTTTCTTCAACAACAGTCGCTATATCCACTTCCTCATTTCCATTTCCATAATCACCCATTGTGAGTCTCTACTCTATTAAACAAAACGCAGAAAAGAGGAAAAGGAGGAAGTGGATACTTCATCTTATAACTGTAAGTGAAGTGGTGGCTGTGACAGCACTAAAGCTGCAGCGATACGCTGTCGGCTGTCGACCCTGGGCGTCTGTCTCGCTTCACCGTCTGGATGCAGGGTTAGCCTTGCTTGCAATTCTGGCCTTGGCTTCAGCCTTGCGGTATGTCTTAGCCTTCTCATTGCCTTAGTGATGAGTATTCGTCGTACTCATGTATAAAGGGGAAGTCTTAATCCAATAATTTATGGAAGACTATGGCTTGTCTTTCGGCCACCCTGCAGCTTCACGTACTCAAAGGCCCCGGAAACCTTAACTGAGTATATTCGCAGCTTTATAAATTTCGTGGGACTGCAGCGAATTCTTCCAAGGAGAGGTAATGTCCGTGTTCCTTGCGGATCGCGTGGATTGCCATCCATATGATCCCACAGATCTGCCTGACACGCAGTGTGGGAGGAATGGATCTCGCTGGATCAGCTGAGGATAGCAACGCAGTCTTCTCTTTTTATTGGGAGTGATTTCAGCTTGCAGTTGTGGATGGAACGAAGACACATTTGGTATGGAGTTCCTCAGTCCGTTTGTTTCTGATGTTAAGGCACCTTGCTCAGGCATCGTCAAGGACAGAGAGATATGGTAAAGTAGAAGAGGAAGTTTGTTATCAACTTAAGTGTCCCTCCTCAGACTTCACGATGACGAACAATAGCCCTACTGATTGCCATTAGGAGGGTAGGACTGCCGCTGCTTCGACGGCTCCCCCTACTGATGATGAAGAATGTGCTTCAACATCAGGAAAGGAGGAGGCAACTTGGGAGTGGCTGTACTTCCAGCACGTCTGGTGTGTTGATTTGTTTCATCTCACACTGACAACCGTCTTAGTTAATATCCATCATTTGATGGGAATGGCAAAGACCAAAGAGAGGAAGGAATATGTAAGTGAACCGCCAGCCTTGCTTGATACGTATGCCGTTATACCTCACCTGACTTAGTAGATGCTCATATATAAAGCCATCATAGTCTTGGATCAATTGCTTCTGGTCTACACCTCTGTATCATCTACACCTGTGTTTGCAACATGGACTATATCAGTATAGTTTGCACGTCTGTTTCAATCCTCTCAATACAACACTCTTCTAGAGAAAAGGTTCTCATACTCTTATCCTAGAGGGGAACATATCTAGTTACTAGAAGAGCTCTATTGCAAGCCTGGTCGCGGCTTTGTGCACATTCCTCCTCAAAGCCTCACAAAGGGTCTCGCCCCGTGCAGCACTACTCCTTATTCGATGCAGAACAGGTTGGAACAGACTAATATCGAAGAGATTATTGAGGAAGGTATCTGCCAGCGGTCCTGTTCAGCATTTGCTCTGAGAGGTTTCTACGAGCATTGTTCTGCAGCGGATGCAAGCCGAAATGAGGATGCAAGTTCCAATCGCGCATGAGTGACTGCCTTAAGGAATGACGGTTATTTACAATTGCTGATAATATGCGAGTGAGCAGTTCTGTATCTATTGCAGAGGTTTTTTTGTCGACCAACGGGATATACAGATCTGGGAAGCATCAGACAACCAAGCACAGCCAGAACTCCCGAGGCATGCAAGACACACTAAAGCATCAACAAGCGACAAAAATGGCCATCATTCATGTGATTTAGCAAGATATCATTGATATCATTGACTTGGAAACCGACGCATCTAACCAAGTTTAAGGAGGTCCACCCGATGAGCTTGAGTTTCTGGCATGGTTCTTCGTGTCCTGGCGATTGTTCAGCTGAACCTTGCAAACTATTTGTCAGTTGCAGGAATAGCTGCATTAGACGAGCCACCAACTTTCCCTATCCCACATTTTGCAACAAAGTTAACACACGACAGGAGAATCTCTCATAGAGATAAAGATGCGGTGATTCATGTCGCAGCCAAGATGCGGGTTATTATGCTTATCAGAACTCGTCGATGCCTCCGCATAGACCTTCCAAATCTCGCGTAGCGGCACTCCCCCCTGTTGTGAGATGGTCAGGTGGAGTACGTTGCATGGACCTGCCGATCTTCTGCATTTCCGCATCTTATCTCCATGTATCTATCCAAGGAGAGCTGGAGCTAATGCAGAAGTGGAGTGGTCTGGGGCAGCTTCTGAGCTGAATTGCAGTCTGCAGTCGAAGCTGCAGGTCAGGCATAAAAACCGCATGCGCCCGCATTCTAGCGCAGGCTTTTCTTCAAGCATTGCGCTCCATCACCTTGCTTCAACCTTGTCCTACCGATGCATCTTCACCTGGGTTTGGCTGCCATCGTAGGCTGCGCGGTTCAATCTGTCGCGGCTTACGTAGCTCAGCAGCCACGATCTCAAGAGGGAAAATGCCAGAAAACTACGGTTGCAATCTTGTAAATGCTCGCTTATTTCTTTTGTATATTCATATTTGCTAATTCTCGCAGAGGAGCAGGAATGGCAGGGATCAAGGCTGCTGTATGTTGAACCTGTGCCTGGATGCATTGAAATCTGACTGTGACAGGAAACTTTGTCCAATGCATCGATCCATGATTTTGTCATTCTAGAATACCGTGACACAATTGGAGGCCGCGCCTGGCACACGAATTTTGGCAAGGACGAAAATGGAGACCCTTATGTCGTGGAGCTGGGTGCCAACTGGGTATGTTATTCCTCGTTTATGTCGAACCACTCTGACATTGAACAGATCCAAGGCATTGGAACCCCGGATGGGCCACAGAACCCTATCTGGACACTAGCCAAAGAGTTCAACCTCAAGAATACATTTTCCGACTATGACAACGTCTCCACTTACAATGAGAACGGATATTCCGACTACTCGCATCTCTTCAATGAGTTTGACGCCGCCGACGAGATCGCCAATGCCGCGGCCGGCACAATTCTACTAGAAAATTTACTAGATCAAACAGCTCGGACAGGGCTCGCCTTGGCTGGCTGGAAGCCCAAAAAGACCGACATGGAGGCGCAGGCTGTTGAATGGTGGAACTGGGGTAAGTCTGCTCTGCCTTCAACAGGAATGAAACTAACAACGCAGACTTCGAGGACGCTTATTCACCACTCGAGAGCTCTCTGGTATTCGGCTACGCCGGGAGTAACTTGACCTGGAACGGCTTTAGCGACGAGGACAATTTCGTATTGGATCAGCGCGGATACAACACCATCATCAAGGGCATGGCTGCGAAATTCCTAAAGGCGAACGATACACGGCTCCGTTTGAACACGCAAATCACCAACATCACTTATTCCGACAAAGGGGTGACAGTATACAGCAGCGATGGAACTTGTGTTCAAGCCCAATATGCCCTATGCACTTTTTCTCTGGGTGTGCTGCAAAACGACGCTGTCACCTTCACGCCGGAGCTGCCATACTGGAAGCAGACAGCAATTCAAAAGTTTACCATGGGCACCTACACCAAGATCTTCCTTCAATTCAACGAAACCTTCTGGCCCTCAAACACACAGTACTTCTTGTATGCGGACCCTAAGCTGCGTGGATGGTATCCCATCTGGCAATCACTGTCAACACCTGGTTTCCTGCCCGGATCCAACATCCTCTTCGTCACCGTCACCAACGAGTTCTCCTACCACGTCGAGAACCAGTCCGATGAGGAGACCAAAGCCGAGGTGATGGCGGTTCTGCGCAAGATGTTCCCAGACAAGGACATTCCAGAGCCGACTGCATTCATGTATCCTCGCTGGAGTACCGAGCCCTGGTCATACGGAAGCTACTCGAACTGGCCCGCCAGCACCGGCCTGGAGGAACACCAGAATCTGCGCGCCAATACGGGCAGACTATGGTTTGCAGGAGAGCACACATCACCAAGCTACTTTGGGTTCTTGCACGGAGCCTACTTCGAAGGTCTTGATGCCGGACGACAGATTGCGGCGCTCTTGCAAGGCCGCTGCGTCTATTATAACTCGACGATGGAAAGGCTGTGCGGGCCTCGCAGGCATTATGAGAGGCTGCATGGAATCACTCCACTGGCTGATTATAGTGCAGTCAATGGCTGGATTTCCAACAGTTTCTATGATTACAATGATGAATAGTCTCTAGTCAGACTTGTCATGTTGATTGTTTCATCTAGTCTGTAGTCAGGAATGCTCTAGCAGTTCGAGTAGACAAGCGGCCACAAGAAGATCTAACATATGTACGAGTCAAATATCTCTTAGGATATCAGTAGTCGAAAAATGCATGCAATAGTGTAGACTAGTTGTCCTTAGAGGAGGTGATTTCCCTCTCGCGCCTCGTCATGCAGCAACACGCCATCGGAGTAGCTCCATTCAACCTGCTTATTGCTGACTTTGTTAAGGGCATTCGGCAGTTCAGTGAAGTGGGGTTCGAGTAATGAAAGTGCGGTCTTGTTATTGAAAATGACGTCCTTATGTTGGGTCATGAGGGGGTGTTGATGCACCAACCCAAATAGGAAATTCACAGGCTATCACCTTAAGAACTCATAGATATACACATGGAAATGCGCAACGCCAATAACAACTTCACTAACTGAGACATCAACCATTTATCTAGTTCCAAAACTCCGACAGTGCACAAAACAGGTCATCTTCGCCTAGCAAACACCAACACCAAAACACATTATGTATAGCTCTATTCCAGAAACACCGAAGGAATGCCATAGATGACGGGCGCCGCACCATTCAGGTACTTCAACACACAGGCACTTCGTGACTTGGATACTGCTTCATCCAGCATAACCGGGTCAGAAGATTCAGTGCTGCTCTTTTTTGCCGATCGGGACCGTCCCTTGCTTGGGAGTGTCGTTCGTTCGCCATTGGTATCCCGGTCTCCAATCAGTCCCCATTTCTCGAACGTGGACTTGGCGAAGCGATCAATATCTTTGTCGGTCACATCCCACAGGGTGGCAACGAGAGCTGGACAGCCTGCATGCAAGTAATTCATCGGGGTCCCGTATGGCTCGTATTCGCCCGCTTCGGTCAGT